TTTATCAATGTGCACTGATATATTCTTCAATGGCTCAACATTTCTCACAACATTATTGTGTGTGGAAGTAGGACCTCCCATATGTGACAAGAAAACACATTTGGCCCCATTATTCACTCTCTTCCAACTACTAAAACCATCAACGGTAAATTCAGGATGTAGAGGTTCACTACATTGAAAAACAAAGCACGGAAAGCAAAATGCTGCATCTTTTGAAATAGAATACTCTAGCCATGGAAATGTTTTGTCCCAACTTTCCTGAAATCTTCGATTTTGAACTCCAATTTTAATCATCAGATACTCGGCCAAGATAGGTTGATTTGGTCTCCACTTTATATAAGCACGTCTAACTTCATCTTGATTATAAGCAGGATGTTTTCATATCGGAATACGCAATGTGGGATCTCGTTCAAGTTCATTCTCATCAAAAGGAATCCTTGGAACTTTTGTTTGAGGTTGAGGATCTTGAGTTTCAACAGCCGCAGGAATCATAGGAACATCAACACTTGTTGATGTTTCTACTAGACTCAAAGGTTCAAGAGTAGAATTTGATGTTTCTTCTCCACTTTTCTTTTTGAAGAACGAAAAATTATTTTTGCTCTTTTTTGTTCTTGATTTTCCATCCTGATAAAGTAGAGAAGGGTTGAAAATTCAAGGAAGGTGATCTTGCCACTAACTGCACCAATGCCTTGAAAATCAACGCAGTCGAAAATCAAAGACTCGAGACAAGTTTCATTCTCTGGAAAAAATGAAACCCAGTCCACTTCATCATCAGAAACCTCAGACTCGATCAGATCAAGCACTCGCAACTGCCTGAGATACAATCCCACCATCAAATACAAGAACAAAAAAAAACTCTCCAATCAAAATCGAGAACTTTTCGAGGCAAAGTTTTCACCTTTTAAACTTAACTCCATTAAATGATTTTCAAGAAAGCCAAACAAAACTAAGCATTCCAAATTGTTGGTGTTACATTCATAAACACAAATGTTCGCTGAAAACTCAAAAATTTTTGACTTTTTGAACCAAAAGGGATTGTTATGTTAGACAAAATGCATCGGCTGGTGTTTAGAATTATTCAAATGAGATGCTTCTACTCAGTAACCCAGATCAACAACCATCGAGAGTGCCAATACAAATGAAACAATTACAAATCAAAGTGTCAAATAAAATTTCATTTTCAACCCAATTACTAATTGGCCATTAGAGTTATGCTACAATAAATAGATCAAAATCACCATTTAGAATCAAAATTCCAAAAGAAAATTAATGACCTATCACTGCAGCAACAATGGCTGGACTAGCTGTAATGTGTGGAGGAGATGGAGCACCCTTTTTGGCTCTAAAGCTCTCTTCCTCTCTATTATATGTAGCTTTCACCGCAGTTTTAATGGTGATGAACAAAATTCAACCGTCTTAGAACGAGGAAAATATAATTTCGACCTTAGAAGATGCTCCAGCACTTTTGCAATTGTTAAACTCTCAAATAAGGCATGTGTAATTTATCCACAAACAAAAGATTCACCCAATCAAAGCAATACGTCTTGAACAAGTAAAGATGAATCAAAACAGATTTCTCCATATCGTCAAACCTTGAACCTTTACTCTACACAAGGGACTGAAAAATTCTAGGTAAAGACAAAAAACAAAAATAATCCGAATTAATCTACCAAAAATAATGAATAGATAGAAATTAACACCCAAGATTTAAAATATAACAATCAAAGACTGATCAGATAATTGACAAAATCATAAAAAAAAATATACCGACTGTGTATTGAATGAGAAAGAAATACCAGAGCAAGTCTTTTGGGTGGTGAGCTTGTAAATCAATACGACAATCCCGGTGACATGAATAGCTTCAGAGGCAACGGAGAAATGGGTGTAATCTTCGACCAGAAGTCTGAGGGACTCTCATCTAGCAGAAGAACAAAGAAACGCTTCGAGGTTCTGTCTCTAGATAGAGCATACCCACTTCCTTTGCTTGGTACAATGCTCAATCAATAAGTTTCCTAAAAAAGTAGAGCCTGCTGTGTGGTGGCCAAAGCATATGGAGGAGCATGAAAAACAAAGGAGGCCTGTTGGGAGGGTGGGCAAGGAGCGTCAACCACCATCGCCCAAATCAAACCACCTAGAAACCAGGGTGTTTGCGCAGAGGGACTTGCCGACGCCACCTGTCCGGGGATATAGGGAGTGACTCGCCGCCTGTGTGTTGCCATGGAGCCGTTGCTTGTCCAGAGATTTGGGGAAGTGACTCGCCTGAGAGAAAAGAGACAGGACATAAGGGAAGTGACTAATAGAGACCGACTAATTTTGGAGATTTGCAGGTGGGCTGGGTTAGGTTGGATGGGAATTTTTTTTTGGGGGGAGGGGGGTGGGCTGGTACTTAGTGGTAATTTTTTTTTTTTTTACTCTGGGCTTCAGCCCACTAATGGGTCTGTCCTTGAAAGGGAGCGCAAGTTCCCTTGTTGAACCGATGTGAAATGTTGAATAAAGAATGAAAGAAGATGTCTAATTTATAATCCTACATCAGTTGGAAACAAAAACAAAGTTTATCCCTCTTCTTCTGTATAAAGAAGACAACCTCCAAGTGGCTTATGTCGAGCTTGGTTTTCCATTGGGCTTGTGTCAAGTTAATAATAGAGTTAAAGGTATTAACATTTAGGATTCCTTATCTAACACGAAAATTGAACCCAATTTCATTACTTGGGCTCAATCCGAATTCAACTCAAGACCGAGAAGGCAGTACTTGGGTTGAGGTGTTTTTGATTGAGGTCGGTTCGGGTTGAGCTCGAGGTTGAGAGTATTATAATTTGGGTTGGGTTTGGGTTGGCCACTCAACTCTCCAAAATCGTAGCCCAAGGGTTAGACGGTAGACTAGTCCATTCTAGCAAGCCACAAATAAAGCCGATGGCCTATCCAAAAAATAGGCCAGGCTGACCCATTGCTCAATAGGCCACAAGACAATTGGATCAGACAAAAAACCATGGGCTATTGGAAGAGGCATACTAGACAAAGATAAATAGTAGGCCAAACTTGATTTATTGGAGGATTAGTTGTGGTGGGTCTACTATTATCAAAAGGGTCTAGGGTCCACATGAAAAACAGAAGATATGCAGGGAGGAGTTGTTACTACCAAATCCATTAAATAGTATGGGGCATGTAAATATTTTAGGAAAAACTTCATTTTCCCCCCTCATGGTTTACCCTAATTGTAGATAACTTCCCTAAAGTTTTAAAATAGCACATAACCCGCTGGTGGTTGTGGGACTAAAACGCACAGTCAAATTTTCCATTCAATTTAATGATCTATATTACCTGCGCCCACTATGCAATTTTGTATAAACAAAGTACGGTAACTTGTCAAAAATACCCTCAAGTTGTCCCTTACTTTCTCATCTCTCTCATCTTCTCTCTATGACTATTGAATAAAGTATTAAACCAACCCGAGATTTGATGGCAAGCAAAGGATGTAACCACCTTCAATGGCAATTCGGTTTCGACTCTGATTTTCAAGTTCTAATGATATTTTGGTTGTTTTCCAAGTTGACTCAATTCTGATTTTTGGTTTGATTCCATTTTGGTTCAATTCATCAAATTTTTGTTGGATTCTATTTCTATTTGAAATTTGGGTTTGATTCCATATTGGTTCAATTTTGATATTGGTTCAATTTTGATTTTGGTTTGATTCATAAAAGTTTGGTTTGATTCTAATTTTTATGTGCTAGTTTAGTTCGATTTTGTTTTAGTTCAGTTGTGATCATCGGTTGGATTTTGATGTTCGTAGCAATATTGGTTTGATTCTTATTTTGAATTGAATTTGGTTTAATTCTGATTTTTGATTGTGATATTTTGTTTCTATTTTTCGGTAGTGATTTGTGTTTGGATTGCTGGGACCGGTGATTGGTGATGGTGCATTGAGTGATGTGAGTTCCTTGAGTGGTGAAGATGTCGTTGTTGGTATGGTGCATTAAGTGGTGGTGTAATGAATGGGTTGCGGTGGGTGGTGATGGTGCAGTGTGTGTCGGAGTTAATTTGGGGTTCATTCTATTTCATAAGTTAAAAATAAAATGATGGGTAATTTGGTCATTTTATGATTTACAGTTAACATAGTTAAGTGTGCATTTTAGTGCAACAACCAGAAGAGGGGTGTGATTTGAAGACTTCAGGGAGGTTATCTGCAATTGAGGTAAACCTTGAGGAGGTAAAATGAAGTTTACCCAATATTTTACAAAGTGATCCTCCGTTTCTCATTGGCTGATTATCTATCTAATATGACAATTAAAAGTTAAATTTTCAATTTATAAAAACACAACAACTATTAATATTAAGGCAATTCTCCTCTATTTTGATCAAATAGTAAAAAATTTATCCTAAACTTTTTTTTTCACTCAAAACCATCATGTTTTTTTATACTTCCCCCAATACCAAACAACTTAACCAACATACTCTCCAATACCAACCAATTCTACTAATCCACACTTATCTCTTTCTTCTCTCTTTCTTACATCTCTTATTTTCTCTTTGTTTATTTTAATTTTAAATTGTGTCATTAAAATAAAATATATAAAATATTATTTTAAATATAAATATTGTGTGATTAGAGTGACTTAGCACACAGGGTTTTTATTAATATTAAAGTATTTTCTGAATTAAATAAAGGAAATTATCTATAAACTGCCAAAAATTGCCATGAATGAAATTATGTCTCATGACAAAGTAGACCGCAATGTCTGATCGACACGCTGAGTCCATGAATTCTATAGACTTTCACATGTGCTTCAACATCAACATCACGTGACATTCCTAACAACCAATATTCTATTTTTAATAACCTTTTTTTAATTTTTTCCATCTGCCAATTAAAGGAGAGCACATAGTAGAAAATAGATGAACTTCTAGAAAGAACAATTCTTCTTGCACAATTTTGGACATTTTCCACAAAATGTACACACAAGCCATTGGAGGAAAATGGGCATGCCTGTTCTTGTACCGGCTCATTTTAACACCAATAACCCTGCAATATTTAGTATAGATTACTACATACATTCATACCAACAAATTTCCGACAACATTCCGGTGGTTTCTCTCAAGAAATCCCTCTAAAATTACTTTCTTCTTGTACTCGTTGGAATTTAAGTAGAGATTACCAGAATTGAAACTTTTTTTGACGATAGCATTTGGTTCAGCTGTTGCTCCAAAAGTAGGGACCAAATAAAGCCATGCACACGTACAAAGAATGGCACATAACTTACCCCAAAAAGCCATTATTAGTAGGATCACCATTATAATTGACATCCCAATAATGGGTTCAAACTTGCCACCGAATGATTCTGTTTTCTTATGTGGCGTATATTCAATGGCCTTAGAATTTTTGGCCGTGTGGGCCGGTGCTTTCTTCTGCTTTCGAGATGGAAAGGAGGCAGAGTGAGACAAACTGACGGTAGTTTGACATACCTTATATTCGTTTTCCGATGACTCTGAATATCTGATACAATTTTTCTTAGTTTTCATTTTCTGGCTAGATCCCCTTTGACATGTGTCCTCCTCCACCAATTCCGGTTGATCCAAACTTTTGAGGCTATCTAGGATGATGTTTTGGACATTTCCGTACCTTATCTGAACCAAATGATTACAAAATGATTCAGTTATACTAAATTAATAAGCATATGATCTCATACGGTCATAACTTAAAAAGAATTGCTAGTTAGCACCAATTTGCTAGATTGCGCCAAAAGTATTTGGGTGGCTTGTTAAAATACAACACATATTTTCTATACGAAAGAAAACTTATAGCATAGGACATACCTTTTGGGGTTTCTCGGGCACAATTAGATCCGGCGACACTGCCGGTATCTCACAAGGCATTATGCCGTTGACCGAGGTATGACGTTTGGAAGAGACCTTCTTGACTGATCTCAACACCATAATTTCCCTTCCCCGGTTGTCCTTTCCCGACAAGGTGGCATCGACCGGAACGGTTTTGACAGTGGATTTCTTCATTCGGAACCGAGACCAAGAAAACCATCGGGTGTTTTCCGGGATACCGGATTTGACAGTCTCAGGAAACGGGTTTTTCTCAGAAACTTTCTCGTAAGATCCAAAACAACCCAGGAAGCAGATGCTTTTGGGTTGTTCTGTCTTCCCCGTGCTATCTGGGGATTCAGCCATGGAAGAGAGAGAAAGTAGTGGGCCTGTCTTGTGCGTCGCTGGATTGCTGAACTCATTACTACGACCACCTCTATTTGAGAAATTGATTTATATTATTTATCTAGTAAGGGTAATTTACCATTCAAACCATTAAATGTTATTTTGAGTGTGTGATAAAATATAATTAATTAATAATTAATAGAACAATCAATGATAACAATGTAAATATCGGTTCAACACACAAATATATAGTTGTTCGATGCGGGTGACCTACTCTATTCCGAGAAATGGTAATAGTGGCCGCATAACTTTTATTAATGAAATAAGGTGAATAAGAGATATAGCAATAGCTAAATTCGAGAGAGATACAATGGCTATTAGAGAGAAAAGATATGTGAGAGGTGTGTAGAGAGGTTTAGAGATGCCTCGAGAGGTCCCCTCTTATATAGAAAGAGCTTATAATTTATAAGCATAGAACATTGGTTAAGGCGGTGATGTGTGGACAAAGATACTAATTTTTCGGATAACTACAAAAGATAATTATCATAAGAGGTTGTCTTGATAGTCGAATGAATATCTTAATAATTGTTCATCATGTGTTCTAATTATTCTTGGATTTATCGAATTTGGGGTTAGGTCGAATTCATAAAGTGAACTTGACCTCTATTTTTGTTGATTTAGACTTATTCAATTTATTGGACTTGACCAATTTAATTCTAGACCGGTCAGTAGGTCTCAAATTTTATCCTAAAACTTAATTGAAACAATCATGTCCTTATAATTTTATTGAGTTTTATAATATATTAAATTGATATGGGAGAGCGTAGCCACGCAATAAACATGTCACTTATTTAGAAGTTTATATATATTTTTTTAAAATATAATTTCTCCAAATAGTTATTGTATTTTATCTTCTGTCTAGTCTAATTTAATTTAATCAAATGACAAATTAAAAAGAAGAATGAGGATAACAACGATAATTCGGTAAAATTTAATGATCACAAGTTAGAATTATGCTTTTTGACGGGACAAGAATACTCCTATAAATAAATTACATTTTAGTGGTGTGATTCATTTCTGACAACTCAAATTAATAGGTTTAGTTTGATAGACTAAATTGAAATTTAATTTAAACTTTTAATATTTAATATTTCAATTGGAATTCCACGAATACAAATTGAAAATAGGTTCATATATAGAGGTGTAAAATATAAATTTATCGAATATACTCGGCAGAAATTCCTAATAAGTTTCCATAGTTGCCCTACCAACTGAGATTGGCGTTTGTATATATGGTCAGAGGAGGCAGGAAGAGATGACTTGGACTCCGTGACAGAGTCGTTCTTTATACACGTTTTCGCCTTCTCCATGTCTTCACCAATTCCCACGTTTCCTTGTCCAGCAATTCAATGGGCTTAAATCGTCATTTAAGGGCATGTTTGGTTCATGGGTTTAGATTTGTTTCATAGAGTGAGTTTTGTTAAAGTAGTTTAATATAGTATCATTTTTTTTTATTTTGTTGCAGATTTCAGGCAAAATATTTAAATTACAGTCCGAAATAGGCTCGCAAGTAAAACTCATATATAAGGTGTCGAGAAACCCATGTGGGGTGGGTGGGTGGGTTTAAGCAATTTCACAGCAAATATCTTGATTAGTGTGTGTACCATTTAGATTTGTGTCACTTACCAAATTCTAGATTAGATATAGTAAATGAGCAAAACTATATAGACATAAAAAATCTGACTTAAAAACTTAATTTGATGATGTGATTGTTATATTTGTTATTGGTTTAATTGTGGATACTAGTATTTATTGGGATTCACTACCTATTTAATAATAGTGATACATCAAGTAAAATTTTTAAGCCAATTTTTAAAAAATATTTAGGCATTTTTCATAAAACATTATTTAGTGCGATGCAAATACCTACAAGTCGATCAATTTTTCATTGGATGGATGCAAAAGAATAAAATTTTTCATTTTACATCAATAAACTTAAACTCAACGGTAAAATAAACCAATTTANGGATAACTACAAAAGATAATTATCATAAGAGGTTGTCTTGATAGTCGAATGAATATCTTAATAATTGTTCATCATGTGTTCTAATTATTCTTGGATTTATCGAATTTGGGGTTAGGTCGAATTCATAAAGTGAACTTGACCTCTATTTTTGTTGATTTAGACTTATTCAATTTATTGGACTTGACCAATTTAATTCTAGACCGGTCAGTAGGTCTCAAATTTTATCCTAAAACTTAATTGAAACAATCATGTCCTTATAATTTTATTGAGTTTTATAATATATTAAATTGATATGGGAGAGCGTAGCCACGCAATAAACATGTCACTTATTTAGAAGTTTATATATATTTTTTTAAAATATAATTTCTCCAAATAGTTATTGTATTTTATCTTCTGTCTAGTCTAATTTAATTTAATCAAATGACAAATTAAAAAGAAGAATGAGGATAACAACGATAATTCGGTAAAATTTAATGATCACAAGTTAGAATTATGCTTTTTGACGGGACAAGAATACTCCTATAAATAAATTACATTTTAGTGGTGTGATTCATTTCTGACAACTCAAATTAATAGGTTTAGTTTGATAGACTAAATTGAAATTTAATTTAAACTTTTAATATTTAATATTTCAATTGGAATTCCACGAATACAAATTGAAAATAGGTTCATATATAGAGGTGTAAAATATAAATTTATCGAATATACTCGGCAGAAATTCCTAATAAGTTTCCATAGTTGCCCTACCAACTGAGATTGGCGTTTGTATATATGGTCAGAGGAGGCAGGAAGAGATGACTTGGACTCCGTGACAGAGTCGTTCTTTATACACGTTTTCGCCTTCTCCATGTCTTCACCAATTCCCACGTTTCCTTGTCCAGCAATTCAATGGGCTTAAATCGTCATTTAAGGGCATGTTTGGTTCATGGGTTTAGATTTGTTTCATAGAGTGAGTTTTGTTAAAGTAGTTTAATATAGTATCATTTTTTTTTATTTTGTTGCAGATTTCAGGCAAAATATTTAAATTACAGTCCGAAATAGGCTCGCAAGTAAAACTCATATATAAGGTGTCGAGAAACCCATGTGGGGTGGGTGGGTGGGTTTAAGCAATTTCACAGCAAATATCTTGATTAGTGTGTGTACCATTTAGATTTGTGTCACTTACCAAATTCTAGATTAGATATAGTAAATGAGCAAAACTATATAGACATAAAAAATCTGACTTAAAAACTTAATTTGATGATGTGATTGTTATATTTGTTATTGGTTTAATTGTGGATACTAGTATTTATTGGGATTCACTACCTATTTAATAATAGTGATACATCAAGTAAAATTTTTAAGCCAATTTTTAAAAAATATTTAGGCATTTTTCATAAAACATTATTTAGTGCGATGCAAATACCTACAAGTCGATCAATTTTTCATTGGATGGATGCAAAAGAATAAAATTTTTCATTTTACATCAATAAACTTAAACTCAACGGTAAAATAAACCAATTTATTGGGTTTAATTAGGGATCAACTTATTACGGCCTTAAAATTGTTCATTCAAGACTGGCTTATATGACAAGTGAAAAGTATACACATATTTTTAATCTTAAAGTAGATTTGAATTCGAAATTACAAACTGATTAGTAATCAAATGTCTTGTAAAAAGTCAACTTACTTGAGGTCGGGTCAAAATTAACTAAATCAACAAAAACTCTTTGGAGATTGACTTAATGAATCATAATTATTTTACCTAAATCCAAAGTATACTATGAAGCTCGTAGAATCTCCATTGAGTTAGGTATCGTTTAGTAACTTCATATTTTTGTTTTTTCTTTCATTTTACGGGAAAAAAAAAAAAAGAAAGGCATTTAGTGAATTTTTTTTTTTAATTACCACTATTTTGTAAACAGGACCAAAATATGAACACATCAAAAAAAAAGTTTTTGAAAACATCCAAAAACCAAAAAACAAAACATGAGGACGGTTCAACCCCATTTTAATGTGGTTTGGACTTTGAACCGTCTTCACAGCAAAATAACTTCTTCTTTTTTCGGTTATCCTATAAAATGCATTTTAGACGAACCATTTCAGACGAAGCTCCTCTAAAACAAACGAACCTCCTCCAGTTCCAACGATTCTCTCCTACACTTTTTAGAACGCTCTATCTCTCTATCTCTCGCGTCTATGGAATCTCTCTCAATGGGTGAAGCTTTGGCTTTGCCTCTCTCCAGAGATGCTCACCCTTCCATTTTTTTTTTTTTCAAATTTAGGCTTTATTTTTGTGGATTTAGGGATTTTTCTTTATCTGTATTTTGTTGTTGTTGATTTCAATATGTGTTATTGTATGCATATTTGTGTCTGTGTGTATCGGTGGTGGTGGACTAGTGTTGGTAATGGGTTGGGTGGTGGGATTTCAGGGCTGGTGGTGCTAGGTTTTGGGTTGATTGGGTGGTGGGTTGGGTGGCGAGTTTTCGGTGGTTGGGTGGTGGCTAAACTGTAGTGGTGGTGGGGAGTTTTTGGTGGTGTTAGTGGTGGGTTGGGTGATGAGCTTTCGGTGGTTGATGGTGGCTAAGCAGGGGTGGCGGTGGTGAGTTTTCGGTGGTGTTGGTGGTGGCTGAACAGATGGGTTGGTGGTTTTGTTTTGGAATGGTGGAGAGGATAGTGGCTGAGTGGGGTGGGCTTTCAGTGATTTGAGTGGAGTTGTATTTGAGATTAAAAAATTAATTAAAATAGCATAAACACTAATGTTGAACATATTTTTTATTTTTATTTTTATAATTTTTTAAATATAAATGATTACTATGTTTTATATTTTGAATTTTTATCACAAAAAAACTAAAAATTAGTTCTATTTTTTTTATTAAAAAAAATCATAAAAATAAAAGTGTTATCAAACACACACTTAATTTGAAGAGGAGCAATTCGTTAAATCCATCCAGGACAGCATATTTCTGAAGTCAAAGTCTTGTAGGTCCGGCTGAAAAATCAAGTAAACTGAAGGAGATGGAATTCAGCCAAATATTT